TCTTCACAGACGGCTGCTAATTGTTCGTCGAGCGAGCGTGCCTGCTTATGCTCGATTGGCAGGTCGGCGACCCGAAGTTTCGAAAGGACGATGCTCGGCTGACTGGAATGAAATCTGTTTCTGATTAAAAAAATATGAGCGAGTAGATACAAAAAGAGGCGACTCACGTTGTCGTGTTGTTGTCGACCCGCACAACCTTGGGCGTCAGCGCTAACAGCAGACCCAGTGGCAAAAAAGTACTGATCAGGTGAATGATCTTCTTCCAAGGAGACATACTGCAAATGATATATTTTTGTTTTATATGTATTTAAAATTCAATCTTATTAATGGCAGAAGCCATTAGATACAAATGTAACATTGCTTCATTAATTCCCTAAAATATTCTGTTCATTTGATCGCCGCGTTGAAAACCCACCTTCTCATTTGCGGATAACCCATCGTCGAGTGTGGCGCTTCCACGTATTGTATATCGTGATACTCTTCACCCGGTTGATAAAACGTGTACGGGAATTTACGTTTCCTCGTGTAAGTGGACTGCTGAACAACCAAGACGCCGTTACTCTCGGGCTTCTTTATCATCTCGAGTGTGGTCTCTTGCATCGGCTGATGAACGTTCTGATTTTGACTGGAGTAATAATTGATGACGTACGGAGGAGATCTCGAGAGGTCGAAGTAAGCACCAGTCGATCGATGATCCGTCATTGATTTACCGAAGATCGTCAATGTGTCCTGCGGCTTCTTCAAGACGTTTTGGAAAAACGTCTGATCGAGGAACACGTGTCCTACAGTAACCTCTTCGAGCGGCGACCCCGAAACGGTCTCTGTAACTTCTTGCTGATCGTTGAAGGGATGATGGATACTCGACGGTATCTGAATATCATCTTGGAACTTAATTCTGCTCGGTCGCGTCGCTTCATCTATCAGACTGGAGACACCTTGATACGTGTTCTGCAGGGCATTCTGGGACCGCTCATGCTGCGCGTCCAGATGAATACTGTTCTCGAATCTCACGTGTTGCACGTTGTTGAAGGGATTCTTTCGACTCTTGGGCTGCTCGATTTCGCCTAAGTGTATACTGGGTCTGAAGACGTTGGAACTGTTTTGGGAGAGAGTCTCGAAGACGATTGGCGATGTTGATTTCTGACTATTATTGGCGACTGATGTAGGCGTCGTCGTTTCCTGATCCGAATACCGATCCCCAAGGGAAGTTTCCTTAAAGGAGACCTTTTCGCATATGACTTCAGATATTTCAGCGGTCCACGCGTATATAAATACGGCGAGCAAAAGACGTTCGGAGATCTTATGCAACCGCATGTTTGTCGATTAAGTCAACGGTCAGTGCAAATGGAGTCACGATGACGAACGACTATTGAAGACAGCTGTTTCCATTGCGAGAAACCCGCAACTGAAGGATTCAGTACGACATACTGTGACTTTAACTCACGAAGGCAAGAGTTACCTTAATGCGGGCGCTAAAAAGCGTGAATGTGGGAACAGTGTGCCTTAATCATTGTCCGTACTCCAATTGTCGTCGACAAAGTAAGTGTTGCGATCTTTAGTTCCAGCAGATTTCATCATGGTACACGGTGCATCATGCCGTAAATGCACATGTCGCGACGATGAGATAGATATTTTCGAAAACAATTTCACATAAAATTAATTATTAATCAAAGAGAGAAAGAAGTAAAATATTTATTATTATCTTTCGCTTCTGTTCTTCTCGTCTTATTTTTAATTTTACTTCTGTTTCAGATTTTATATTTATCAATATCATTCATATACCGGAAAAAGTAATAAATTTATTACACTCGCAAAATCAAATTAAAGTCTGTGACTTTTATTTCATTAAATATTGTAGAAAGGAACAACTCACAAACGCAAATAACTCTGAATTATTTATTGAAAAATTGAATCTTTTTTACCGAGATATACATATGCTACATTTTGATTTCACTATTTTATAAAAAAAGATTCAGATCAGATGAAAGCAAGTGAAACGTTTAATGGATTGCTAAATTGCGTAATTAAGATAGAAGACATTCCTTGCTTCAGAGATACTCGTCGAGTACAAGTGTAATGAGCGGAAGGGGTGAAAAGACTTTCTAAGCCAAGTTTTATCGCCGAGCGGTGAGAGTCTGACCCTGTTTCACGGCGAGGTCATTTCAATATGTTCTATATATACACGCGATATATCTTAGAACTTGTTTTACAAAGAAAGAGACAATTTTTATATAATCCTTCTTATATAAACATTTAAGCCTCCCTTTTAAATATTTTTTGTGTAAACTTATTTCGGATTCATATAAAATAGAATTGGAATCTATGATTCATCAATTATTGAGGACCTGCTAAAAACAAAAGCAATCATTATCGGTGAGAGACGGCAACCAAACAAAAAGGAGAATTCACATGAAACACGAACAATTTAAAGAAAGTAATAATTTCGATAATATAGCTTATTGCTTTTTTTATAATTTTTCATAAGTAAAAATTATGTTAAAATTATGTTTATATTTCGAATTCGTGTCATTTTCTCTGCGAATTATATATCTGCTTTTCTTGAAACTTTCTGTTATCGCGCGAGTTTTCAACATCTAGGCTAGATTTTATCTAGGTACCCTTTTCACCCCTTCCACTTCTTTCCATATCGTTCTCGGCATCGCGACTCTCCCTCTGGTATGACCGACAATGAAA